TGACTATAAATCGGCCCTTAAACTAGAAACTCTACGCTTAGGTGCGAGAGCCCAATGCCGGTTCCCGAGTACCTGGCATTTAAGATCGAGCCCCCAGCGCCTAGGCTCGAGTCCATTGAGGCCGGGCCCGTGACCCCAATGCATGTGCTTGGGTCCATGGTGCCCACACTTGGATCCATTGAGACCGGGCTTGAGGCTCCAATGCCCATGCCCGATACCCTGGCACCCAAGCCCGCGTCAACAAACGGCAAGCATGGGATACTAACAATCATGCCCAGATCCCCAACACCCGGGCTCAGGTTCACAAAGGCCATGCTAGAGTTCCCAGAGCCCGAGCCAGTGTCTATCAAGGCCAAGGCTCGAGTCCCTAGTGCCCAAGCCTTTGTTTATAGAGGCCAGGGCCCGAGACCCAGGGGCCCGTGCTCGTGTCGCCGGCGCCGCGCTAGGTCCATCAAGGTCGGGCCCAAGACCCCAGTGCCAATGCCAAGTCCTCGTCGCTCGGACATGTATCCATCGAGGCACCCCTTAGTGCCCATGCTCAAGTCCCTGACGCTTGCACTCAAGTCCATCGAGGCCAAGCCTAGGTCCATCAAGGTCAAGCCCAAGCCTAGCCTCGATGGACTAAGACTAGAGCGTCAAGGACTCAAACACAGGCATTGGGTTCCCGAACCCTGGCATTATGGTCTCACACTCGGCCTTCGTTGACCCGAGCCTAGCCTCGATGAACTTAGGCTCGGGTGCCAAGATCTAGGCATGGGCATCGAGTCCTCAAGCCCGGCCTCTGTGGACTCAAGCTAGGGCACTAGGGAGCCGAGCAAGGACATCGGCTTCTCAGGCCCAGCTTTTGTGGACCCGGGATTGATGCTTGTACTCGTGTCCAAGTCCATCAAGGCCGAACCCGAGACCCTAGTGCCCATAATCGATTCCCCGATTGCTTCTATGTAAGTCACTAAGGTCCGACTGGTGTATATTTATTTACGAAAATCAAATTATTTTCCTTATCAAATGGCGAAAAATATTTTCCTTATTAGACGACGGAAAATATTCTCCAATTCATTTTCAAATTTTAACCAAACACTGAAAAATATTATTATTTTACAAGAAAATGACTTCTTGTGAGATACTTTTAAGAAATGTCACATTTTTAACAAAACAAATAAAGCCTTAGTATCTTATGTTTTCCGCATTTCCCGTTAATTTGCAAGGAACAGTATATCTTCACTACCATCGTATCAATACTATCTTCATTAATTAAACCTTATCCCAATGCTAATCTCATTGTGCTAGATGGAAGCGATGCCGCGTGGCAGGCTCCGGGCACTACACGTTTTGAGGTGTTGGATTAGGTGTACGTGTGGGGACAGGTGGGGTAAGAATTGATGGTGGGGACAGGAAGGGGGACAGGGGCGTTTAAGTCACCTGCCTGGTTGGCAGGTGTTCTCAAGGACATCCCATGTGTTGTCCCAAAACAAGAATCCCTAAGCCTCACTTTCCAGTTCCCACGACTCCTCTCAATTGTTTTTTATTTTATTTTTATTTTTTCTTGAGTAAGCATACCTCAAATCGATTTAAAAAGCAAATCAAAACTTGGGTTTTTATCAATCTCCAAATCGCAAATAGTTCTTTCTTCATATGACCAATCACAACCTCTAATCGAATGCCTTTAAGATACTTGCTAGACTTACTTAATAAAAAACTCTTAAGATTTGCAAAGCATTCATTACGCATAACATAAGAATAATATTACATTGAAAAGTTACGATTTTTCTCTATTTAGTTATCTAACTCGTGCTCCAAAAGCATTCGTCAATGAAAATCATAAAGCTATTTGTCGGCATCTCTGAACCACTAGTACGACGAAGGCATACGGTACATTTCTCAACAAAAAAAAAAAATCAAGTCTCCTAGAGCTCCCTTTTTATAATAGAAATGACAAAAAACCTAACATCTTTGAAGTGTCGACCCCTGCATGGATACCTAACAACAAAAGATGATGGAATGCCAACAAAGGGTACAATTTCGACCAAAAAAAAAAAGACAAAGGGTACAATAATCACAAGAAAGAACAGTTCTAACTATAGCAAAACCAATATGAAAAGGGATCAGATAGCGCGAGATATGTATCTTCATAGCCTGGCAATATTTGACGAAAAGACTGCCAGTCGATTTATGAACTAATCCTAGAAATCAATCTTGGGAGACGTGACATTGTTCTTACAACCGAAAATAAAGCGCAAAGGTTTTACTGGGCCAAATTCAAAATTCAAAACTGAAAATAAAAACATAGAATTAACGGTCAATCGAACATTTTTCATAATCAGGTTTTATTTCAAAGGTTTGGATAGACTTTTTTTTTTCCGTTTGAATAGATAGCTATTACAAGGAATAAATTACGCAATAACATGTTGTGTTTAGCTTGATTCACTATGAATTTTGTAAATTCTTGAAATATATGATTAGTCTAATTTGATCAAATTGGCAAAAAAGTGTAGGGAGCAAGAATTGTTGGAGTGAGCCCGCCCATGAAAACGGTAGGAGAGGAGTCAAACCAACGTCAGGAGGTGGCACCCCACGCGACGCGTAGCGCGTGGCCATATGTTCTGTCCCCCCAAATTATTTTTTTTTTCTTTCCAATCACAATAATATGTCACGCACTTTTTCAGCTTCGGTTCCCCTCGATCCATTATCACCCAATGATTTTTTTTTTCTTCCTTCCTTCTCTTTTCGGTGCAATTATAAGTCAATGATGTTCCTTTTCTTTCTAGGCCATGAATGGTTTTATTCTAGGTGGAATCGAATTGAATGATCCAAATTGAAGAGAAGAGAAGGCTCCTCGAAATTATTTTACCAGTCTTGTCAATCGTATATATTAAAGTATCAACGTCGCTTGTCTACGAGATTTATGTGCTTTAATATACACGTAATCTCCCTTCACTAGATCTGTCAAAATGGGTCATTGACACATTTTTTTAACTCATATATGATGGTTGAGTTGTTATATAAGTTAATTATATTTAGTAAATAGATTATAAATGAATTTATAACTTATTCAGACTCAACATATCTATATGATTCTCTCTTCATTCTCTTTTCATTCTCTCTCGCCGTCCCTCAATTTTGGCGCTCACTCAATCCACGTATGAGTTTTCCTAGATTTGGTTAAATGTGGAAGTGTTTTTAGCAATATGGATTGAGTTAGATACGGGTTGCGTATGGGTTAGGTTATGTATGGATTACTAGATTTGCATTGTCTGAAAATGGGTCTATTTGACTTGAACCATTTTCAACCTGGCTCGACCTGACCAACCCCTTTGATGAGTCTGGTTGGATTGGACATTGTAACATGCTATCAAGGTTGGGGGCACTATTCATCGAATTTGGCAAATCGCTTCCAATCCGGCTATCTCACGTCACTTGTCTAGCAATACCCAACATACAAAAAATGACATTTTCAATATTTTAACCGTACATAACACGAGAAAAACACAATGCTTGAAAATGACGAATTTCCCTTGCTTGAGTGGACTGGTCGACAAGTGTCCATCAACACTAGTTAACAAAATCTAGATATCACAACATAAATAAATCTCCCAATGTTTGAGTTTTGCTGAGCTTATGCCCCGCACGATCCTACTTCCCCACATGATATTTTCCCCGTTGTCTACGCTGGCTATTCTAAGTTGGTCCCCCTTGAGTTAATTAGGGTGCAATTTTTTTAAAAAAAAATGCAAATATTAGAAAAAAAGAAAAAGGGAAATCGAAACGTAATATTCCAAGCAAAAGACAATCTTAGCTCTTAGCTCATCTTTGGAATTTTCTATTTTGGACCTTCTAAGAATAACCGAGGTTAGTCAAAAGGCAACGGAATTTAGGGAGAATTTTCCACCTTTTTATTTATTCATTATTCACTATTTATTAGTTATTATTTAATATTTTTTGGGCACCCTTTTACGACCAGTTAAAGCTATCGGATCAGATTCTTCGATTGGTATAGAAAGTAAATGAGGTGGTCAAACTCAAACCCTAGAAAAAGTGAATTTTTATTTTTATTTTTATTGCTTTTTTGGCTTTTCCAAGCCAATGGAGGATTGCATCATCTCATAAGTCATAACCACCCCCATTGAGCTCAATTTGTTTATTTGTCTCTCTTGATAAGGCACAGGTTGCTTTCAAACACATTTTTATCAATCCCTTTATGCATGAATTGTTGATTGTCAGCTTCTTTAAGGGATTAATACTATTAAAATCACCAGCTAAAATCCGACAACATATTCAATCCAAATTATTTTTCGTCTCACCAAAGATCCCAAACCGGTAGCCATGACGCATTGACCCAACACTAATTTTCATCTCACCAAAAATTCCAAACCAATACTCCGCGACACATTTACCCCAAATCTACGGTTTGGGGTCTGATATGGGGGGAGTAAATTTGGATTCGGGATACCGGATTGGCACGCGGAAGCTACCAATTTTGGATCTTTCGTGACAATAAAATTTGTTGGGGATAGAAACCCTTCTTTCAATTATAGGACCGGCTCACACAAACTACTGTTTTGTAACATGAAGAAACAGGAGGTACAGAAAACAAGACTTTCTTAGGCGATTATTCAATGCATCAAATTTTTTTTTATATACTTCCTCCAAAGGAAATTCCTTCTGTCTAGAAAGCAATTTCTATTGACAGATCTCTCTTGCTGGGCATTGCGGAACACCATCCCCTGCGAGGGATTCTCTCTGTCGTTGGAACAGGTAAATGTGGTCACTCGGTCTCCCACGATCGTGATCAAGGCAACTTTAATTTAATTTAAGTGATATTAAATTATTCTCTCTTTCATGCTCTTTTAACCCAACAAAAAAATAAATAAAAAAAAGTAAATTCATCCCACGATTTGTGTACTAAAACACGATAGTGGGTACGTTGCGAAAGGACGAAATAAAAAGAAAAACTGCATAAATTTTTGGTGATGTGATTTTTATATTAATATGGTGATATTAGATTAGCTATATGAATAGGACTTCTCTTTCTGAAGTTAGGCACGTGGTTCGTACACATGATAAACCCTAAAGAGACATAGACAACCTACTTCCTAAACATAGGATTAACAATAAGGAAACACAAATGTACAAACTATCAAACTGCCAGTGGCCCAAAACCTGGCAGGTTCTAGCCGGACACGTGGCCGAAACCCCACCGCTGGTTGTCTCCTTCCCCACCGCTCAGAAATAATCGAAGGCTGTCGTTTGCCTCCTCGCCGCCGTCGTTGTCCTCTGCCGCCTCAGCCTCAGGCCGGGGATCTCGGGCGGCGTCAGGGACCGGACGAGGGCGAAGTTCAGGCCCTTGAAGAAGGGGTGCTTCTTGACGTCGGCGGACCCGCGCCTCGACCCGAGCCTGCGGGCCGGGTCCTTGCAGAGCAGGCCGGCGATGAGGTCGCGGGCGTAGAGCTCCGGGGCGGCGGCGGGGGGCGCGTCGGCGGGGCCCGGGAAGGCGAGGGGCTTCTCGACGATGTTGCGGAGGGTGGCCTTGTTGGACGCGCCGGCGAAGGGCGTGCGGCCGTAGACCATCTCGTAGATGAAGACCCCGAGGGCCCACCAGTCGACGGCGTTGCCGTGGGACCCGCCGGAGGCGACCTCGGGCGCCACGTACTCGTGGGTCCCGACGAAGGACTGCGACCGGGCGCCGACCGGCTCGGCCACGAACATCCGGTTCCCCGGGGCGAGGCTCTGGATCTTGCGCGACCGGAAGAGCCGGTTGGGGCTGGGGAGGCAGGAGAACGGGGAAGCGGACGGAGGCGGGAGAGGAGGAGGGGCGCCCGCCGCCGCCGTCTGCCGTCGCGGGTCGTGCCGGGAGGGGTCCGGGGACGCCGCCGCCGACGTCGACGGGGATTCAACGGCCGGGATGGCGTCGGAGCAGAGGGAGAGGTCAAAGTCAGAGAGCATGATGTGACCGTCCGATCTGACCAACACGTTCTCGGGCTTTAGGTCTCTGTAGATGATTCCAAGCATGTGGAGGTACTCTAACGCTACCAGCACCTCTGCAGCATAAAACCTGAAAAAAAAAATCCAAAAACCCCACCAAAAAATTAAAAAAAAATTAATCTTTTTTATTTCTTTTTTCTCTCATTTTTATTTACAATAAATTGAATTGCATTATTTTTTTCCAAAAAGGAAATTTGCGGCTATTGTCAGATAAATAATCCTGGAAAATCTCAGCTCCAGAGCGGAAAAAGGGAAACGTTGAAAGCGATTCTGATTTTATTTATATTTTTTTTCGTAAATGAAAAACTGATTAAAAAGAAGAAAAGGATGATCCATGGAAGGTCGCTGATTGCAGCAGAGAAGCAGACAAGATGGTAACCTCTCAGAGGGGAAAAAAGGGCAGATGAGAACAAAACATGGAGAATCGCACCATGCAGAGAGAGAAACGAAACGAAACAACATCGCATGAAAAAATGGGGAAGAAAAGGGTTCGTGGGAAAGGAGGAAGAACTCCACGAACATTGTTTGAGAAAAACTGAGGAAGAAAAATGAACCAGAGAGACAACACATTCTTGAAATGAACAAGGAAGAAGAGGACAAACAAACACAGTGACACGACGGGAGGAGGGGAATGTGTGTGTGTGTGGGTTACCTCGCGGCGGCGAGAGAGAAGCGCTTGTTGGGCTGCTTGTGGCGGAGGGAGTGGAGGTCGCCGCCGGAGCAGTACTCCATGACAATGCACGAGAAGTGGGAGGCCTCGAACTCGGCGTAGAGGGTGGGCAGGAAAGGGTGGTCCACCATCTTGAGGATCCGCCGCTCCATCTCCGCCCGCTGGCTCTTCTGCTTCTTCTCCACCACCTCCTTGTCCACCACCTTCATCGCGTACAGGGGCGCCGGCTGCTGCGTCTCCCCACCGTCCGCCGGATAGCCGCCGCCGCCCGGGCCCTCCTTCAGGCTGCAGAGGAAGACCGTGCCGATGTCGCCGGAGCCGATGCGGCGGTGGAGGCGGAAGTCGCGGAACCCGGGCCTCGCGCCGCGGCGGAGCATGGCGGAGTAGACCGAGTCGGAGGAGGACCGGTGCGGCTTTATGGCCAGGGTCTCGGCGGCGGAGGCGCCGCCGAGGCCGTGGTGGTGGTCGAGCAGGGCCGCGTCGAAGGAGAGGCGGCTGAAGCTGCTGCAGCTGCCGCGGGAGCTGCTGCTCATCGAACTGGCGTGGCCCGAATTCAAGGTCTCGACGCTGCTGAGTTCACCGTCCGAGTCACGGCGATGCTCGATCATCCTCTCAAGAAAGGGTAAATCCCCGACGCGCTCTCACGGACCCCGGTTCTCTCTCTCTCCAGAACAAGATAGCAATTCGAAAGCCGGTGGAAAATGATCAGAGGAGAGAAAGTCAACAAAGGTGAGGACGAAGCACGAATCTGATCACTCGTGCATTGGACTTAGCTCGAACTGGCAACCCCGAATCAGATGCTAAGAAACGAAGAGAGAGAGAGAGAGAGAGACGCGCGCGCACACACACGCAGAGATTCGCCGGTTAAAAGAAGAGATTCAAGAATCGATCAGAGGAGGAGGAAAGTGAGCAGTGTGACCCCGCTTTGAATGAAGGGGGGGAGTGGGGGCGCAGGGCAGAGCTCATCAATGGCGGACGAGGGGGGAAAGGAGCAGCTTTTCCTTCCTCTCCTCCCCTGTGTGCGCGTTGGGCGTTTGGGACCAGAAAATTAGGGTTTAACTCTCTCTTGTTTCTTCCTCCTCTTGACTGTCGCTGCAGCGGAGCCCGTACTCGAAGGCCCTTCTTCTTCACTTATTGCTCGTCGGAGAGAGAGAGAGAGAAAGGGAGAGAAGGTCGAGGTCTCTCGCTCTCTCTTCTCTGGTTTTTTTTTTTGAACAGGGTGCCTCTGCGTTCAGAGAGAAAGAGAGAGAGAGAGAGTGTTCGGAGAAGATGGTGGTTGAGGAGGTATTTATGCAGGGGTCGTACGGAGAGAGACGGGGGGACGAGGGCAAAACCGTCATTCGCAGCCTCCCCTGCGTTTTTTCCTTTCTTGGTTTCATGGGGACTAGGCGACGACGACGTCGATTTTTTCAAACTTTTTCGCGATTAACAAATGAGAAAGCTTTTTTTAGTACAGCGCTGTGCGAATTAATCCAAATCTTTTTAGTTAATTCGAACTTTCTCGTAAAAAAAAAAAAAATTTTACTTATGAAGCGGATATATTATTAACTCAAAAGTAAATTTTCATTTTTGCATTTATTGGATCTTTCTTATTTGTCTTGACTTTGTATGATGGAAAGTTGAAAAATCAGGGTGTAGTTATTAAATAGGGAATATCGCCCAAAAATATTAAATTATACCCACCGCGACACATATATTCTAACTTTGTTTTTGTCACCAAAAACCTTAAACTCGTCCACTGTGATATAAGTACCATAAACTTTCCTTTGGGTTGCGAAAAAATCAAAACTTATACATGTGTGACACATATACTATCTATTTAGATATTTGTCATATTTGTATAAGTTTGATAAAAAAAATTTAGGGTATTTGTATCGCAATGGACAAGTTTAGGGTTTTTAGTGGCTCGAAAAAAAAAATTTGGTACTTGTGTGACGATGGGTATGGTTTAAGATTTTTTGCGGTATTAACCCTTATAAATAAGCACGTCCTTAAAATTATCCACATTCTTCGTTCAAAGGATAATTACTCTTTTCCTCTGTCACTTTCGAAAGGTGCGCACCTGCATGTCTCAATACTGCTATTAACGCAACCAAGTACACAACAAGTTTGAAAATAACACGAATTAAAATATTTTATTTTTAACGTATTTAGTCTAACTTTGTCTACATGCTTAGTTGAAAGAAAAAAACACAAATCGGACGATTGTGCCATTAAAAATCTCAAATTGGAACTTAAGACATTTTTTCCAAATTAATTTTTTGTGTCACAAAAAATTTCAAATCGATACCTCCATGATGCGTTTAGACCAAACCGATTTTCGTCTCACAAAAAATCTCGAGTCAATACTCCCGACTCAAAAATACATATATGACATAGATGTTAGATTAAGGGTCGGTAGAGTCGGTTTGAAACTTTTCGCGAGACTAGAGTTAGTGTGAGATTGAAAGTATTCGTGAAGCATCAATTTGATTTTTTTTTTAAAGGTGTTAACCTAAGTCAAGATATGAGTGTTTTTTTTTTTTTGACAAGGATCTCTTCTTCTTTTAACCGTGGTTAATTTTTTTTTTTTTGGGCGGGAGGAAGGCACGTGAGGTTTGAAAAAAAAAAAGGAGCAGCTCGGTCTGATTCTGATGCGGCCACAGCCTTATTACAGCAGGACCCGGCCGCGTTCAATTACCTGCGGGATGACGTCACGTGGGGGGGGGGGGGGGGGGCGGTGGCACGTGCGTCGAAGGTCGTCGGGTCGGTTGTCACGTGGCAGAGGCTGCTTCCGTTTGTTGTTCTCGAGCGCTCTGAGCGTGCGGTCCTACTGTGCAGGTGCAGGTCTAGTTAAAGCTTTTTGTTTTTTCGTTTTTTACCATTTACTCTTCTTTTTTTTTTTTTACTTTCAGGGCTCAAACAAAAAAAAGGGTAGATTTTACCAGTTTGGTGAATTTCTCATTGCACCCGGCTTAATTTCGTCTGACAATATCAATAATGAATCCTCCTCCGCTCATGGCTTTTTGAACCACGAAAAATGATATAAAATGCCCTTAAAGTTAGATTTAACTTTAAATATGCAATGTCGTCCATAAATTTTTAATTTAATTAATTTGACCCATGAACTTTGATCAAATATATAATGTCTGTTTGAACTTTTAATTTATTCAATGTGATCCCTTAACTTTTAGTATATATTTCATTTAGTCTTGTAATAGATAAAAATGTTCAATGTTGTCATTCCGCTAATTCAAATTAACGGAATCTGTTGATTTGGTTTCCAATCATGTACACGTCAATGATGGACACAAAAGCATTATATGCGAATTATCCACGTAAGATATTTAACTCAAATTAGAATATAGTAATCCTTTTCATTTGTTTAATTTGTTCAATTTAAAATAAGTTTATCCATGTTATTTGATGACGTAGATTATTATATCTTAATTTGAGTTGAATATCTTACGTGGATAATCCACATGTAATGTTATTTTTTTCTCCACCATTCAAACTTATTGGATTAGAAGCTAAAACAGCGAATTTTGTTAATTTAAATTAATGAAATAATAACGTTGGATATTTTAGTCTAGGGGTTAGATTGAGAAAGTTTAGGGACGATATTATACATTGGGCCAAAGTTCATGAATCACATTAAACAAATTAAAAGCTTAGAGACGACTTCGTACTTTGGGCCATTTGTGTAATCAACTCTTTTATTATTTTTGGTGTTTGTAAATAATTTAAATTTAACGAAAACATTATCGACCTTATTTTGACAACGGGATAATAGATTTCATTTCATTCGAATTGTCGGTCTTTCTCATTAGTTAGATGTTAGGGTTAAATTTTGGCTAATCCCGTACATTTATTTTGTGGAAAATGAATGATGTGAAAAATATTTTCCTAAAAACGATTGCTTATATCACTTGAAGTAATTAGTCAATGAAAAATGTTTTTGTTATCAACAACAATTTACGTTTAAACATTTTTATGGACAATGAAAATATTTTTCATTCATTTAGTTTTGTAAGTGATATAAATGATCACTTTTAGGAAAATATTTTTCAAATTATTTATTTTTCCCCGAAAAAAACGTACCCTAATAGAAGTTTACTTAGCAAAAGTGTTGACTTGTTCACTGCGATGTGTTATAGCTAATTATTATAGTTCTGATATTTTCAGATAACTTAATGAAATATAGCAAAATTTGTCATTATGAATTCTTTATACTCTTATAGATCAGCCTCTACAAATTGGCCTCTCTACCATCACAAACAATCCTTATAAAGTCACAACTTAAAAATCAAATTACTGATTTTGCAAGTGTCCTTAAGTCCTATTAAAATATGGAATTGAGATCAACTTTTAATCCCAAGAAATTGTCTTGCTTTACCTATAAATTCTAGGGTGACAATCGGGCCGGTTCAATCCATAATAGGTCTTATTCGATCGATTTCTAAGAGAAACCAATTCAGCTCTTGATTTGAAGGCCGGTTCTAGGGTCGAACCAGGATTATACGCCTTATGTAAAGAAAGGCAATAGTGAGATGCTACTGAGGGAGAATGGAACCCATAATCTCTAACTTAAAGTAGGCACCCAAGATCACTTAACTAATAAGAATTTACTAGTTGTAGGTGAAAAATATACATATAATATCAATTATGCGATTTTTACAAAAAAACCTAGTTCTACCTAAGAACCAAGGCCCGGCTTGGAATTGGCTAGTTGGGTTCTAATCCAGTTCTCCGATTCTAAGTATAACTGGTTCGATTCAAGTTTCCAATTTTTCAAGAATGGATCTCGGAACAGATTCATTGGGGATCCGATCACCACTTCTTCTTGCATTTCAAGGTTTGAGATTTTTGTTTCCTTGTTAGATAGATCAGCAGGTAATTCAATCTAAAGATTTCATATTAAACTGCCAACTTTCATGCTGGATATCCGGATTGGTATATGTACAATATCTAGATTTTGCATATAATTATCACCTTGCCGGTCATTGCGGATCTTTTTTCATTTGGCGACTTGGATCTCAAGTCTTTCTTTTTTCCCTTTTTTTTCTATTTTATTTTTTAATGTATAGAACCTTCTTAGATGCTCTTTAATTAATTAATTTATTTCTCTTAATTTTTTGGGGTGTCATGCGGCGGAACTATAATGACCTAACATGTCGTATGCAGCGAATGGAACATGTTGAGTAAACGTAGCTAATCTTGTCCTCAAAAGCATGTTTTAAGTCCAGACAGTGAAAATATTCACAGGAAAAGCTAAGAGAGAGATATTAATAAAATAAAAGTATCGTGCAATGTTTGTTTTATATTCTTTTTCAGAAGTATACATGGGACTAAGGAAAATTGTCCAATCAATCATAATCCTATTGAATGGAGCCAGTTCAATCTTGAATTTTATAGTTTTGCCAATTGAGCTCTAATCCTTTGCAAGAAATTCATGTATAATCCCTCTAGCCAATTTCTGCAAAGATTTTGTAGGACAGTTAGTGATGACTATACTGCTGTATCAACGTTTTCTGATGAAAATTAATCAAAAAGATTACATTGACATTTCATGCAAAAATTTAAGACTAATATCAAATAATTTTTTCTATAGGTCTAGCACGTTTTTAAAATTGTGGCTGATTGGGGCTTGTGATTGTTTTTATCAGTTTCAGCATTGATTGATCCTTGCTTTG